GAAGGAGAATTATCAAATGATCCCAGGCTGTCTTCAAGAGAGAGAGAGCTGGAGATGCACCTGAAGTTAGTATCTGAACAGTTGGTCTGTGATTTGTATGTTAGTTTATGTGGGGCCAGCAATAACAAGCTGGTTGATCAGGCTCTGATTCACCAGGATATACCTGGGATATACCTTCCAGGTATATCCCAGTATCTGATTGTCTTTCATTTACTGCTCTTCATTATGCCACATTTCTAGTAATCACAGAGATGATTTTTGCATGTTCCCTGGGCATATTAGTGTTCAGCATAACAAATAGAAAGTCTGCTGTTTATAACCTTTCAACTTAATACAGAGGTATTTGTTGGACTAGTTTTCAGCTCTTTTTTTGCTGTTTGTAAAAATGGGGTCAAAGTTAGTCTTATTAAATTACTTTATATTAAATTATGTTTTTACCTACACTATCATGTTTGAGAACCTCTATTTTCCCACTTGCTTATTAGCCACACATTTTACTCACAGTCACCTCGAGGAAAAATGCCCAGCACTGTTTGGCAGTGATTGTCAGGTTGTATCAGTGCACCATATCCTAATAGATTGTCCTGTCAGTGTACATACAGAATTCACTTCCTGTGTTTTCACTGCCCAATAAACATACTCTAACTGACCTCATTGTTGAAAGCTTCTCCTTGTTGAAAGTTTCATTCTCAATTTTGACTTTATCCTTGACTTGCTTAACAGAAACTAACTTATTACAACATCTGCAATTTTTATTTTACCATCTGCAGTTTTTATTACCCTCTTGCCCTCTCCTATCCTCCATTAACCCCTATCCTCACACTCCTTCCTTTCACTCTCTATTATTAACCTTTGCACATTTCTCTATTTTGTACATCCTTACCCACAGTATTGCATAATATTTTGAGTTAGTACCTCTTTTGATTATTTAATTTCATGTTTCATCTCTCAAATATAACTACATACTGAGCTGGTTATCCCTTCTGTAAAATTACTAAATTTAACCCTTCGACTGTTGAAACCCCAAATCCTGAGGTGTCTCCTGGTGTTGAAAATTTTTTGAAAAAACTAATTATTTTTTCTTAGGAAATGATGGACACTCTTTTTACCAATGGTAGACATCAAAAGAACGAAATTTGATGGAAAACTTACAGAATAATGCTCTCACGAAGTTAGCGATCTTATGCCAATTTCAAAATAGGGTCCAGAATAAACAATGCTTTTTCTTTGTTCAACAGTCACATCTCCAGACCCCTCTGATATTGCTCTTGCTTTCTATTTTTATTTTTTATTCAATCAAAAATTGGAAGATTTACTGTTATGCAGACTACTGCAATATTGTAATAATTGTATAAATAATGTCAACCAATTCATGACTGCATATTAAAATAGGTAGTTGGACATTTATTTGATGATGACATCATTTGTTTACTTTTGAACATTGGCAAAAATCAAACATTTCCCATACTTTGAGCTCCATTTCAAGGTTCTTTTTATAGTAAAACCAATCAAAATCACCTCTGTTTCTATAATGTGTTTTCATTCTATCAAATGAGACCAAGAAAACGAGAATACAACCATAAATACTATACGAAAATATGCCTCAAAGTCGGCGTTTTAATCCAGAAACACGGTCGTAGTTTTTTTTTTCTCATTATGCACTGCGTGCTGCAGGATTTTTTTAAATGGTGCACACTGACCACACAGACCCATTCTCTCACATGTGGGCCTACCAGTTTTCTTTCTGCTTGATTTTTAAAACCTAGAACTTTTGAATATATATATGTCAAACATGGTGGCTCGTAAGACATACATATATGACCGAAACAGTCAAAGGGTTAAAAAGAAAAACTTTTGTTTTTCATTTTAGGTCACCTGCTTTGTTAGAATACAGCTGGTTTATTAAAAAACTACATAACCAGCTGTTGCACTTACTTTTACTTATCTTTACATTTGGTTGAAAACCAGCTGAGAAAAAATTACATCATTTTATAATAAGAACATATTTGTTAATTTACAGTTTTAAATTTAAATTTTTGTTATCTTTTCTTTTGCAGTTCATCTAAAAAAAGAATTATACTTAGTGTCATCATCCAGTACAATGAAAGTGTTATAAGTGGCAGATATACTGGAGAAACTGTGTCAACAATGTGGTAATGGTGAATACATTGTTTGAATTCTTCCTGAATGTCCAACTTTAAGTTTGACCACATTATTCTGACAATTACAACTACCCCTTCAACAACCAGTGAAAAAGTCAACTTACTATAATACTGTACTCATGTTAATAAACACCGTACATGTTTTATCAACATGATTTACACTAAAATTTATTACCTTAACAGCTTAATAGCTTACATAAATATTTGTTTATTGCTTTATAAAATCAAAGTATTGAGTTTTATTAAAGTCTGTAAATTATTTTGTAATATATTTTTTATAGTCTAATAAATCATATTTATCAACCATTAGAAGTAATAACAAAGGCAACTAAAATATGTTATGATAAATTTTTTCTAATATAGTACACAGAACTATAAGGTTTAGGAATTAAATATTTATTAACTGTTGGAAAAAATATTGAAATATATCTTTCTTAATTTCTACCATTAATGACTGTGGGTAAGATATTATATCATCTATTTTGTCCCCCCTTACTTCAGGTATTTTATTTTTCCATTAATGACTGTGGGTAAGATATTATATCATCTATATTGTCCTCTCTACTTCAAGTATTTTATCTTCCATAATGACTGTGGTAAGATATTATATCATCTATTTTGTCCTCTTACTTCAATTTATTTTATCTTCCTTTAATGACTGGGGGTAAGATATTATATCATCTATTTTGTCCTCTCTACTTCAGGTATTTTATCTTCCATTAATGACTGTGGGTAAGATATTAATCATCTATTTTGTCCTCTTACTTCAGGTATTTTATCTACCATTAATGACTGGGGGTAAGATATTATATCATCTTTTTGTCCCTCTCTACTTCAGGTATTTTATCTTCCATTAATGACTGTGGGTAAGATATTATATCATCTATTTTGTCCTCTCTACTTCAGGTATTTTATCTACCATTAATGACTGTGGGTAAGATATTATATCATCTATTTTGTCCTCTCTACTTCAGGTATTTTATCTTCCATTAATGACTGTGGGTAAGAATTATATCATTATTTTTCCCTCTCTACTTCAAGTATTTTATCTTCACATTTTCCTTCCATCTTCCTCATTATTGGTAGATGTCTTGATTAACTTACTGACAACACAGAAAATATTTTTTATTATATTTTCCTACATATATTTCAGTAGTGTTTTTATTTTATTTTTAAGTTTCCCTTTCCTCAGAAGTTTTTGTAGTTAACACGTAAACTGTCTACATCCCTCATATTGAAACACCTTCAGTGTCAATACATTTTTCAAATTATTACAATTATTTTGTCATCTGAAAGGATAAAGAATCTTATCATAAGGTAATAATGATGCCAGAAAAATCAGTTAAAACAGGCTAGAAGTTGGGCAAAATAACAGGAATTTTCATTAATTTGTTGCTTGTTTAGGCCAGTTTCAGTGCTCAAAATATTTTGCTATTTATATCTTCCTCACTATAAATTTATTGCAAAAATTTGTTCATTTGACTGTTAAAAGTTAGCCTCTTAAGGACTCTGAATTTGGAATTTTGCCAATTTTACTAAATTTAAAACAAATTTTGGTTTAAAAGCACTGCAAGAGTTCTTGCCTCTAAAGTACCTTTCCACTTTATCAATAATAATACCTCCAGGCTTCTATACAACACTTACTTTCATTATAATCCTTCATTACACACAAAAATTCTGTGCTTTATTTTTCTTGGATCATAATTGCCTAAAATAATAATTTCTGTCATTTTTAAGGTCTATTTCTCCCATTTTTTTCTTCCTGATTTAAGTAATTTTTCTATTTTTTTCTATTGGTGCTATAAAAGTCTAAAACAAACCAAAAATGGCCTAAAATTTTGATTTTAATTGAAACACAGAGATAAAGGTTAGCTGTTACCATAATGCCCTGTGTGGCAGGATTATTTTTATACTGTGCACACTCACCACACAAACACATTTTCTTATGTCTAGACAAAACTTGTTGCTCGGCATATTTAAGGCATCTGTGAATTAAAAATGGTAGTAGTGAACACTGATGTGATGTATAATATGCAGATATTAAAGGTGTGTGCTAATGTTAATGTATACATTTTTGATATGTGCTGTTATTTATATATTTATCAATGATGTGTCCAGCTGGTATTGCATACTCTCATGTTGATGTTGTATGTTGTTTTAATGTATTATCTCATGATGTGTGTGATAGTTGATGAATCTACTCATGTTGATGTAGTTTACTCATACAGATAAAAAGAGATAACAGTATTACTAAGAAAGAATATATTGATTACTTGATTATTTACAGTTTATATAAAGTAATAAAACACTTATATTCAATGAATTATTTAGACTTGTACCAATACATTGATTATTATTCCATTTATTTAGAGTTCATATTAAGTTTTTGGATATTAATTGTTAAAAAAAAAAGATATCAGGCTCATATTTACAATATAAGTTGGTAAATAATGTTTAATTTAAGTATAATTAAATAATGTTCTTTAAAAAAAATTCTACACATTAGGTAATTTGAACAATAATCAAGAGACATTAATCATGTATAAGAAAACAATATGTATAAATGACCTTTTCTACAATATTATTTTAGGAAAACTTTTAAATAAATTGTAATATGCAAGAGTTTGATAAGCAAAATATATAATAGCTGTATTCATTATTAAAGTGACTTCAAAAGGTAAGTAACAAAATGCAGTGTATGAAAGTTCCTTCAAGTAATAACACTTATCAGTGTTCAGAGTGTTTGAAAGACTTTTCAAGTAAATCACATTTAATACAACACATGAGAGTTCATTCACAAGAAAAACCATATCAGTGTTTCAGAGTGTTTGAAAAAACTTTTCACAAAAAACACATTTAATAAAACACATGAGTGTTCATTCACAAGAAAAACCATATCAGTGTTCAGAGTGTTTGAAAGACTTTTCTCAAAAATCACATTTAATAAAACACATGAGTGTTCATTCACTAGAAAAACCATATCAGTGTTCAGAGTGTTTGAAAAACTTTTCACGAAAATCAAATTTAGTAAAACACATCAGAGTTCATTCACAAGAAAAACCATATCAGTGTTCAGAATGTTTGAAAAACTTTTCACAAAAATCACATTTAATAAAACACATGAGTGTTCATTCACTAGAAAAACCATATCAGTGTTCAGAATGTTTGAAAGACTTTTCACAAAAATCACATTTAATAATACACATGAGAGTTCATTCACAAGAAAAACCATATCAGTGTTCAGAATGTTTGAAAAACTTTTCACGAAAATCACATCTAATAAGACACATGAGAGTTCATTCACAAGAAAAACCATATCAGTGTTCAGAATGTTTGAAAGACTTTTCTCAAAAATCACATTTAATAAAACACATGAGTGTTCATTCACTAGAAAAACCGTATCAGTGTTCAGAATGTTTGAAAGACTTTTCACAAAAATCACATTTAATAAAACACATGATGTTCATTCACCCAAAAAAACCAATCAGTGTTTAAATGTTTGGGAAAAACTTTTCTCAAAAATCACATTTAATAAAACACATGAGTGTTCATTCACTAGAAAAACCATATCAGTGTTCAGAGTGTTTGAAAGACTTTAAACAAAAATCACATTTAATAGAACACATGAGAGTTCATTCACAAGAAAAACCATATCAGTGTTCAGAGTGTTTGAAAGACTTTTCACAAAAAACAAATTTAATAAAACACATGAGGGTTCATTCACAAGAAAAACCATATCAGTGTTCAGAGTGTTTGAAAAACTTTTCACGAAAATCAAATTTAGTAAAACACATCAGAGTTCATTCACAAGAAAAACCGTATCAGTGTTCAGAATGTTTGAAAAACTTTTCACAAAAATCACATTTAATAAAACACATGAGTGTTCATTTGCAAGAAAAACCATATCAGTGTTCAGAATGTTTGAAAGACTTTTCACAAAAATCACATTTAATAAAACACATGAGTGTTCATTCACAAGAAAAACCATATCAGTGTTCAGAATGTTTGAAAAACTTTTCACGAAAATCAAATTTAGTAAAACACATCAGAGTTCATTCACAAGAAAAACCGTATCAGTGTTCAGAATGTTTGAAAGACTTTTCACAAAAATCACATTTAATAAAACACATGAGTGTTCATTCACAAGAAAAACCATATCAGTGTTCAGAATGTTTGAAAAACTTTTCATGTAAGTCATATCTAATAAGACACATGAGAGTTCATTCACAAGAAAAACCATATCAGTGTTCAGAATGTTTGAAAAACTTTTCACAAAAAACACATTTAATAAAACACATGAGTGTTCATTCACAAGAAAAACCATATCAGTGTTAAGAGTGTTTGAAAAACTTTTCATGTAAATCACATTTAATGAAACACATGAGAGTTCATTCACAAGAAAAACCATATCAGTGTTCAGAATGTTTGAAAGACTTTCTCTCTAAATCAGATCTAATAAGACACATGAGAGTCCATTCACAAAATAAATCATATCAATGTTCACTCTGTTTCTAATATTTTTCACAAAAATCACATGTACTATAACGTATGATATTTCATTCACAAGAAAAACCATATCACTGTTTAAAAGACTTCTCACAAAAAAATAATTCTAGTACTGTACATGAGAGTTCATTCAGTATAGAAGCCTACCAGGCCCATGGCCTGGTATGCTAACTCTAAGCTTCATCACCAATGTTTATGTTCATGCCTTGGTCCTTTCATCCTCTGTTGAAAGCTTCTATGCTGAGGCGAATGTTCCTTCCTTAGCTGATTATGAAGATGCCTTATTGCTGTCATTATTTTTTCAGTGCATATGAACTTCGTTTTCCTTCTACGTATAGGGTTTGGTCTCCAGGGTTAGTGTGGTCCATTATTTGATCAGTGCCTCTGCTTATTCTGTCTGTTTTCTCTTAATCTTCACTTGCTCAGGTCTTCTCTCCAGTTCCCTCCCTTGTATATTCATGTAGCATCTACCTTTCCCCTTCCCTCTTGGGAAGTTCCAACAGTTGTGTCTGTCTCCTCTACTGCTGTGTGCAAAGGGCTCATACCTACAACTGTTTCTTGCTCTCTTTTCCTTGATCACTTCTAGTCTCATGCTTGTGCCGTTGGCATTTATACATCTGGTTTTAAATCTTCTGATGGCATTGGGTTCATGGCAGTGTCCTGATGATGATGTTTTGGGGGCATATGTTAGACTTAGCTAGTATTTTTACAGGGGAGTTTTATGTCATTGTTATGACCAAGGTCATAATGAGATTAATTTATGTTTTGTCCACTTAATATTATACTTGGGGTTTTTTTTAATATTAGTTAAAGATTCCACTAGTTTATAATATTACTGGTTTAGGAATATACCCGGGTATTACGGTATATATATTTTTTGTATTTTGGAGTAATGTGTTAGATAGGTAAGGGAATAGCTGGCTAAGAGTTGAAATAAGGTATGTCCTTGGGGGTAGGGTTTAGTCTGTTCTCCCTTTGGGAGTTTGGTCATGTTGGGATTAACTGTGTTAGTTCAGTTCGCTCTCTCTGCTGACTCAGTGTGCATTGACTTAGCTACCCCTCTAGTACTTCACCTTATTCTCACTTGGATAAAAAATTTTGTTGTAGAAAAAATCTTTAACCAGCTTGAGGGTTTATTCTGAAGTGAAGTCTGTGGACAGCTATATACTATTACCCTCAGTCCTCTTCAAGGGGGGCTCCTTGGCGTGGTGAAGAGGCTCTTGGTCTGAGGAATTAGACATGTCGGTCTCCTTCCTCAGACCGAACCTAATTACCCAACAATCCCCCCTTCCCTATCCCATCCTCCCCATCCTCACCTTTTTCCTTTCCTCCTCCTCCTCCCCACCCCTCCCTTTTGCCCGTCCTCTTTTTGGCCTTTGGGATTTTTCCCACAGGCACACTAGTTCATAGGTAGGGGGAAGGGTACTGGGGTCCGTCCCATTCCGTTGAGGTTCTTGGCGGTGGTATAGTTTGCCATGGGATCTGGATTGCCTGAGGATGTCCCGATCTCTCTCCAGTATCCCGGAGGGTGGCTTTGGGTGTCTTTCGGGCGACGGGTGTATCTCTGGAAGCCACCTCTCGGATTCCAGGGGTGGTGGCTGAAGGAGGTATGCTTTGTGGCAGATATCCGGCCACCCTCTCTTTTGTCCACCGAGGTAGCTAGGCAGATGTGAGGTTGCTATCCCGGATTGCTGGTTTACTGGCACGAAGGGTAGGGTATGGCATGCATTCCATGCTGCACCTGCACTACTTGTGGTGCTGAGGTCCTCTTGGGCACAGAGGGAGATTTCTGGCTCTTTCATTCCTCCTAGGAACTATCCCTCCCCGGTACCCCCTTTTTTTATTCTTTTTTTTATTTTTATTTTCTTTTCTTCTTTCTTTTTTTTCTTAAAAACAAAAAAAAAGAAGTAACCTAACCATGGAGTCCCAAATCCATGACCCTGCTACTCCCGGGCCCCTTATTGTTGCCGCACCCTGTTCTGACCTTGCCTCATATTTTGGACACTCCTAAGGCCCCTTTACCTCTTGCTGGTGCTGTTTCCTCACGCACTTCAAGTACCAGGGCTTCCACTGACTCCTTCGATTTGTCTGACCTCGTCTCTCCTTTGACTATGCTTCCGACCTCTCCCTATATGGTGCGACGATTTTCGAATCGCCAGCCCGTCTCACATTGGACCGACTCTGGTCCCACTTCTAAATGCCAAAGACAATCTCTTGACGATGTTACTTCATTACCTTCCCATTCTACTTGGAAAAGACCGACACGTCATGCACTCCCTCTCCACACTCAGTTTTGGACCACACAATAGGCTAAATTCTTTACTTTACGACCGACTTCGTCTACTGCCTATCTTTCTGACCAAAGTATTGGCAAAGCGCTCCTATGGCACGTTGGTAGAGATATTTCCTTTCATGCTCTTAAGAGTGGTACGTGCATCATCACAGTCCAGAATTCTACCCAATCTCATGATCTTTCTCTTCTTTCACATATTGATACTATTCCTATCACTATCGAAAAACATCATTCCCTCAATTCTTGTAGTGGTACTGTTATTTTGCCCCATACCATAGTCCAACAGAATTTCCAGACATGTGGCAATGACATTCTCGAACAGCTGGAACTCCAAGATCTCCCAATTCTCAAGGTAGACACTTATGTTCTTCCTGCCCTTGCAATGTGGCTCATTTAACTTTAGACATCCGTGAACTCCCATCCTCTGTTTATGTAGCAGGACATTGGTTAAAAGTTCGGAAGGTGATCCCTACACCGCAACAGTTTAGGAATTGCTGGCGATTTGGCCACCCAGGAAAATATTGCAGATCTATAGCTGAATGCCCAGTCTGTGGTACCTATGACCATTCTAATACATCTTGCAGTCGGCCTCCCTCTTGCCTTAATTGTCATGAGGCTCACCCTTCATACTCTCCCCATTGCCAGGTCTGCTTAAATGAGTGGGAAATTCGTTGCCTCAAAGAGGCAGATTGCCTGTGCAGGCGCTGACTGTCACCTCCTTACAGTTTCTCTCCAACATGCAGTCGACCGTGTTTCCAATTGGGCCACCACACGTGGGTTTAAATTTTCCAGCACTAAAACCCACCAAATCACTTTCACTAGACGTTCTGTCATCTCCGATCATCCTTTGTACCTCTATGGCTCCCGTATCCCTGAACGTGATACAGTCAAGTTTCTGGGCCTTCTCTTTGATCGTAGGTTATCCTGGAAACCTCACATTACCTCTCTGAAGGCAACTTGTCACAGCCGGCTGAACCTTCTTAAAACCCTTGCTCATCTTTCGTGGGGAGCTGATCGTCGAACCCTCCTTCGCCTACATTCCACCCTTATTTTATCGAAACTTGATTATGGTGACCAGATTCATTCAGGGGGCCTCTCCTGCTACTCTCTCTAGCCTTAACCCCATTCATCACCAAGGATTTCGTTTTATGCCTTGGTGCTTTCCGCTCTTCCCCTGTCGAGAGCCTCTATGCAGAAGCGAATGTTCCATCCTTATCCGATCGCCGTGATGCCCATTGCCTGCGCTACTATGTACGCTCTCATGATCTCCGCAATCCTTCCATTTATAGAATGGTCACTGATATTAGTAGACATTCTTTATTTGTTCGACGCCCCTTTTTTACTCCGTCCCTTCTCTCTTCGCCTTCATTCGCTCTTGTCTTCTCTTCAACTACCACCTTTCTATGTACATGTAGCATCTCACTTTTCCCTACCCCCCTGGGAAGTTCCAGCTGTTCGAGTCTGTTCTTTCTCCCTCCCTTGCTCGAAAGCCCAACTGTCTACGGTCGCTTCCTGCTCTCTTTTTCTTGACCACTTTCACTCTCATTCTCATGCCATTGCTGTGTACACAGATGGCTCTAAGTCTTCTGACGGCGTAGGATTCGCAGCAGTGTTTCCGGACAGCGTCGTACAAGGGCATTTACTATCTTCGGCTAGTATTTTTACTGCTGAATTATATGCCATCCTTACAGCACTT